TGGAGCGAGGTGGGGGGACGCCTCGACATGGCGCGCTTGGAGATGGATTGAGCGTTCCAGTGACAGGTGCGCCGCGATCGGGTGACGCGCCCTGCAGTGGCTACCGCCAGCTGAGGTGGGAGAAGTGCTCAGACCATGAACGTGCTGCACGTGTTGAGCGCGTTTGTGGCTGTTGCCAGCTGCGGGCAGTACGGGCCCCGCAAGCCAGGCAGATGCGAGCCGATCACAATTTCCCTGTGCAAGGACATGCCGTACAACGTCACTCGGATGCCGAACATTGTCGGCCACGAAACCCAAGAGGAGGCTGCACTGCTGGTAAGGAGGCTCTGCATCAGATGCAATATTTGCGGGCAAGGTCATGATGCGCGATATTTCTCCCATTTCCACTTTTGATTCGAACCACGAATGATTGTAACGATATAGCGGTGCATAGGGATGATATTTCTTTAAGTTCATTCTTGCTGAACCTTGTGTAAACGTGTTTTGCAACAATATTTCTTGGTATACGCAACATCCACCAGTGCGATGCCGTTCATCAATGATGAGGCTTGACTTGCCTTTGCACTAGCTTTAAAATGCTACACTAGGTTCGGTCATTCAGCATCAGGTCTCTAATATGTGCCACTTGCCTTTCAAACTTGTCTGGGGCAAGTATGACTGACTGTCTTCGTGTCAATCGGGCAGAGTACGCACTTTGTTCTGTACTTAGTGGCGTCATGCTACATTCTTACGGTATCTGGCCCTTGTGGCCTCTGTATGTGAGACCACTCACATTTATTACGGAAACACCCCGCCAGTGTCAGCGAAAGTTTTGGGAAAGCCTGATAGCGCCCGCCTTTAGGCGTTTTAGCGCGTTTATGCCAGACATGGTTAAGGACAGACTTCTTTAATAATACAGGATGGTTTGGTGTGGCAGCGGCCTCACCAGCCTATTTCAAAATAAGCACAATTTTAGCATTCTCGCATCGAAAGATGCGCGTTCTAGCTACTTTGCCTCTCTTACTCTTCGTATTCCGCGGCCGTGTTGGGAAGGGGGGGGGGAGGGGCAGGGCAGGTGCCGACGCTTTGGACGCTTGGTTGGGAGGCCTCATTAAGGCCATTGTAGCTAACTGAAAACGCTTTTTACGACGGAAAAGGCCGCGAGTGTGGTCTCTTTGAGTCTGTTGGGTGAGTTGTCGCTAGTGTGGGAGAGCCTTCACAATATCTTTGGAGGCTCTCACGGCATATCTGAGGCTGGGCGGGAGTAAGCATTCAACGAGATGACCCCAGTCAGTTCAGCGCTCTCGATTACGTCTACTGGTCCCATGGCGGCAAGATACCTAACAAGAATCTTCATAGTACGTAAGCTCAGGAAAACGGTCTCGGCATGTCCCGTAGTCCGCATAATGGTATGCTTTTACCGCGCCACGCCCCTTCTTGCGGGCAAACCACATGACTGAGAATGGCCTGAGCATGAGCATGGCATGGCTCACACAGCTGGATTCTTCTCAGATATGACCCACTTACGTTTCGAAGCTGGAGGTTGGCAGGCTTACAGCAAAGCTGGAGGGGTTGGGAGAGGGGAGACGAGAATCCCTTAAGCTTGAACATGACGAAATACCCCTGTCTGAATGCGAGTCGTCGCGAGCACCGACGTCCGGTCGTCTGGCTCACCAACAGCTCACTGCCTTCCACTCAATGCTTCACCGGCCACCTGTACAGTCGCTTTGAAGGCCATTCTCCGTTGGATGTGACCGACACGCGGCCTGTGCTTGTGAGCATGTTTTGCCCTCTCAGGGCCCATGTACGGACGGGTAGTCAACGGTCATGTGTCCAACCTTCCCCAAACCAAAACCCCGGCCAAAACGACCCAAAGTGGGAACATCTCAGGGCCCCGCATGGTCACGCCGTAGGAGACTGCACGTAACCGTCACTCGTGGGACGAGCGATCGCGTGGTGGGTGAGATCGTGATGTCAAGTCTGTCAAGAAAGAAACCACCTGGTCAGTGCCGAGAGGTGGGCACGAATTGGAAGGTCATGTTGGCACACTCACTGCCATGCACCACGCGCATGTAGCCCAGCTTATCCGCTGTTGTAGCCAAAAAATGAGTCGTGCTCCCACGGACGCGGAGTTCAGTCGCGAGTTGGACATCGAAGCTCAATTCTGTGATTGGACTAGTGTTGTCAATTACCACGTCCGTATACATCACTTTTTTGGCCTCTCAGCCGCTTGTTCTCAGCCCTGTTCACAACAAGAGTGCGATAGCCTCTGGGCACTTTTGCTCCGATAATTTCTATTTTGTCAGAACCTCAGTTTACGACGCTATGGCAGTCTGAGCACTAGACACTTCGGGAGCAATTTTTAAGATCGAAGAACCGTGCTGTAGTTACCAGTCTCTTCGCAACAGGCTGTGGCCTCTTCTGCAGGCCCTCGCAGCTCGTACAGTCTTACCCAATACCGAAGTTTTCGCATAGGCCAGGCTGGTCTCAGTGTTGTTCAAAAAGAGTTCTGCTCGTTGGGGGTATTTTGCTATGGTATAGAGGGCCGGTGTAATAGATCCACATATACCAGTCTTCGGCCCCCTCTGAGTGCATCGCTCGTGCGTCAGCTCCGTATGACGTGGGCCAATGCGGGCGCCTTGTTTTCGTGTTCTGGCGGTGGCCGGGCGAGACAAACCAGGCGACGGTCGTGACGTCACGTTACGCTCGGTGCTCGGTGCACTGGGTCACCTGACCACAGCAGAGACGCCGGGGACCAAAGAAGGCTCAGGATAGCAGGCAAGCGCCACATGCCAGGACATTATGAGACCGGTTTGTGTCTGACGCAAGCATTGATCGCATGGAGAGGCGTGTCGCTGACAGAGGCATGTACCGGCAGATGCTGGTGACGTAGACACGCACGTTTTGATGGGCTTGTAGCTGATCAATAAGTTGACTAAGTTGACAGTTTTGGGCCCAAAGAACTTGCTCTGGAAGATGGACATGATGGAAGATGGGCACACACATTGCATGGACATGTGAAACATAATTTGACAGCTCGGATTTGATTTATCACTAAAATATAAGGCATTTAGGCAGCAAAAAGATGTCAGCATTGTCTGTTTAGATCAAGGAAGGCCATATCAGGACAACCCACACCATGCCGTGGAATGAGGGGAGGCGGCTTTGCAATCTCGACAGAGAAATACCAGTATGTACTACCTGTGCTGCTCGGAATCATTTCGTGCAGACCAGGCAATAAAAATAGGTCGACACTCAAACATTTTGTTGAAGTATATGTGGATTGGTCAGGTATCTCATATGTTGTGCGGGCAGTAGAAGTCTTGACGAATTGTGCTTACCTTCTTCCTGCCTTGATCAAGACGGTTCCTTGGCCAATGAATGGCACTGGTAAGCACTAGTGTCCTCTTACGTCCTCTGTTGTGTCTAGAAATTCTGACAGATTAAAATGCTGGGTCAGATCTTTTGCTGGGCCCGCTGTTTAACTGAGTTAAGGCCAAGAGTGCCTACCACGCCCTTTTAACTACCTCAATGCTACTTCAGTGACAATAAGGTTGTGGTTACCAAATTTAAAGATACAGACGTGCTACTTTTTGACAGTATTCGAATGATCTGCTCCCTTTAAATTACACAGTTTAGGAATGACAAGTGTACATTTAAGTTCCCTTAAGTTTTATGGCATTGCGGAGGGCATGCCGAGATGTTGGTTTTTGCCAAAGCACCATATGTTTACAGATTTTGTGGAAACATTTGTGGTAACCATCCTAAAAACCAGAAAGCGTAAGATATTGTTATTTGGTTCCACATCATGGTGCCCAAAATTGGAGTGCGTTTGCATGCGGTACCCGCCTTATTCACCACAGTGCACGAGCTTGGCATAAATGAATTTAGGCGGTGCCGCATAATGACCACCGTTTTGGAGAAAAACTTTTGCCTTCTATAGTTCATAGCCGTTGTACAAGGCCAGAGCTGCACTTAGTTCTCGTTGGTTATGGAGTTGGAGGACAAAGTTGTGGGATACGTGGTTTTATGACACATGTAACATGTCTGTCACCACATGTTGATCTTTTGGGCTTAGTGTATGGATTTCACTATACGTTCATGACTTGCATGGCACATGTCGTCTCACGATGGATATGCATGGACAATTACAGTTGCATATTTCATCCAGGGTGGATATCTGTTATGCCTCGCTTTCATGCAGACGGCCGTGCAGTCTCCCGCAGTACAAGGCGCCCTCCCTCGTCCGGTCGAACGAGCGGCCAGTGATGCGCCTGTCGGACGCGCGCCTCCCTGCGGTGCAGTCCGGCACGTTCCAAGAACGGTCCCATTACCGGGCAGCTGCCAGAGGAATCTGCAACATCCTGCTCTCGAGAACATTCTGGGAAATGGGCGGGTCCTGTCGCGGCCCTCGTGACTATCTGCACTAGTGTCACGCAAAGATGATTGGGAGTTTCTGTTATTCTCATGAATCACCTGCATGCGTCAGGAAAGCTTGCATCTGGAAAGTCGCGCTCTGACCGTCGCGGTCGGCGCGCCCGAAAAACTTGAAAGTTATGCCCCAGTGCCGTTTCTATTTATCCTGAAGTAACGTGCTCAGGAAGCATCTTATTATATGATTCTTTATTTTGCACCTGTCACGATTCTTTACTTATCATTTTTCATCACAAGTAGCGTGGTTAGGAGGCTTCTCAGTAATCAGGAAAGGCCCAGAGAACTGATCATAACTTATTTTGGCCCCTAATGTAGGATTACTAATGTTCCGTCGCATATGCTCAGTCGCTTATATGTATCAGGCAATCTTGACCAGCTCCACAGCAATATGACATGAAGGAAAAGGCACCGTCTGGGGAGTCAAACCCTGTCCTCAAGTAAGGCGCACAGCGCGGTAGTGCAGCCACAGCTTCAGCTCAGTGGTTTCATGGTCCAGCTTTCGATGCGTGTTTTCGTTGTTCTAGTAACTCTGAACCCCGTAATCCGCCCAGCGTCCGCCCGCCGCCTCACAGCATCGGCTGGTGGGTTGGAAGCCGCCTGTATTTGTGTATATGCATGCATTTAATCTAAAATTCCTCCGTCAAATAGCTTTTCCGGATTTGCATCCAGTACATGTCAAAACAAGAAAGAAAAGCTAATCGCGGGATGCCTATGCAGTTGAATACCAAACCGAGATACGAATGGCATTCGAGTACGAATGTGCACCAGCCACGAGATCACCACATGTCCAATCTCCGCTCAGCTGCCCACGGTCCTCATGGCACGCTGAGACTGCGGACAGTAAGCGGCGCTCAGTTATACCGACCGGTAGCCCATTACATAAGGGCGCCGTTGGGTATCGA